ATAGTCAAAGAAATTGGAAAGAGTTTAGATCATCCGCATCACACAAAGCCAGCACAAGGCTGTTTGTAGAAGGTTGGCTGCTATCACACTGGCTTGATATTAACATTCTAGTGAATAATTAAAATATCCCTGTTTATTTTTTAATAAAAAGAAAAGGCATATATGTGTTACCTCAGAGTTTATAATGACACCTATAGTTGCAGCTGTCTTTGCGGTTTTTACTAGGATTGTAGATTAGATAACCGAGACAATTAAAAAGAAGATTTTTCTTCTGTTTCTTTCTCTGTTCTTATTTTACAGTATGCAATGTTATAATGCCTTTCAAAAATATAAAATAGAAATCCTTAAAACTGCTCTGAGACATTTTCATGATAGTTGGTATTTTCTAAATTGAGTGGTTATTAAATATATTTTTCTGCTGAAATTATTTTTGAAGTACATGTCTCATTTTCATTTTCTGTCTGTAAGAGGCAGAGCTGATACTATTTCTTCCTGCTTTGCTTTTTAAAATTCAGACTCCCATGAGGTGATCAGGTACTTCTTTATAATTGAATATACTTTTCAGTTAAACTCACCCCTTTCCACTAACTGTTTTCTTTGGTTGTTCCTTCAGGGCTTGCGTAGAAAAGTTCGGTGTTTTATTCAAGGCATTTGACTCAGAGAAAAAGAGTTATTACTTACACAGAGAGCAGAAAGAAATTCGTGCTCAGTAAGAGAGAAACACAGACTTTTATGGAGCCATAGTCGTACGGTCTTATGTGATGCATTTGATGCTCCTCAAGGTAGTGAGTGTTTCCGTAACTCCAGATCTGTCAGGGATTACTGGACCCTACGAATTTCTAGAAGGTCTGGCTGAATTTATGTCTATTAGACGATAGTAACAGTGTTCGTAGTAGGAGGTAAATTGCAGCGGAGGAAGGACAAGAATAGAGTAAATGGCATCAGAGGAAAAATCTTCTGGAGAGGGTGAGGTAATGAGTTAGGAGAAAATCCAGGCTGAAACAAACACTCTGTCTCCCACTCCCGGAGTCAGAAGTAGCTGCCACACTGGAGGGAGAGAGACTTTGTTGAGAGTTTAGGTGCCTTGGGAGCCTAGGAAGGAAACCTCAGGGTGGACTTTTCAGACACTGCTTTCCTTAGTGCCCCAAATAAGGTTCAATCAAATAAAATTAGGATAATAGTTACCAGGCACTTTGTAACAGCAAGGCCATTCTTCAACTCTAAATTGTTTGCTAGAGAAATTACAGATACAGAAAGAAGTATCAGGTAGGACCCAGTGGATATAACCTTGAGTTAGATGTGGCTCTTATACTTGACCAGGAACTAACAAGAACTTTGGTAGAGAACTCAGAATGCCCCTCCTCCTCAGAATTGCCCGATGGGATTTTCCTCTTTCTTTCCTGCTTTATTTTTTCAATTTTAATTTTTATTTATAAGAGTTGTATATATTTAAGGTTTACAATGTGGGGAGTTATTTTTGTGGGTATTTATTGTTTTTTGAGACAGGATCTCACTCTGTTCCTCGGGCTAGAGTGCAGAGGCATCATCATAGCTCACAGCAACCTCAAACTCCTAGGCTCAAGTGATCCTCCTGCCTCAGCCTCCTTAGTAGCCAGGACTATAGGTGTGTGCCACCATGCCAGCTAATTTTTTAAAAATATTTTTTATTTTAATTTTTTGTATGTTGTCCAGGCTGGTCTTGAACTCTTTGCCTCCGGAGATCCTCCCACCTCAGCCTCTCAGAGTACTAGGATGGCCAATGTGAGCCATTGATATACATTGTGAGATGATTACTAAGGTCAAGCTAATCAACATATCTATCTCCCCACATAGTTAAATTTAGGGGAGGGGGTTGTGTGTGTGGTAAGAGCATTTAAGGTGTACTTTCAGCAGATTCCAAATAAATTATCACTAGCTCTGGTCACCATGCTGTACCTCTCCTTCTGTTATTTCCTTAGCTAGTTGCTACTTCATGAACTACCACTTTGTTTTGGACAGGGCAGTGGTGCCATTTTTCTCTTCCTCTACAAAGTTGCTCTCCCAGGCCCGGCACCAGTCTCTTGCTCATGTCCTCCTTCCTCCTCTTACCTCCTTATCAGCCCCCTACCTTGCCCCAGCTCTGCACTGAAGTACCCTGGAGACTTGACTTTGGATTTGTTCTGAAATATAAATGACCTAACCTCAGTCTTTAAACTATTCAAGAACTACCCCTAACCCTCTACTCCTTATTACTACAAACTAGGTGGCTTAAGCAACAGAAATTTATTGTCCCAGAGTTCTGGAAGCTGGGAGTCTGAGGTCCACGGGTTGGCAGGGTTACTTCCTTCTGAGGGCTGTGAGGAAGAATCTCTTCCATGCCTCTCCCCTAACGTCTGGTGGGTCGCTGGCAATCTTGGGTATTTCTTGGCAGGTAGAAGCATCACTCCAATCTCTGCCTTCATCTTCACATGCTTCTTATGAGAAGAAAATTCAGGCTTTTAGTCTTCCCAGGAGCTAGTTAAATATGTGGGAAGCATACTTTTCAAATTGGACTTTTGCCTTCATCTTCACATCGTGTTCTTCTTATGAGGACACTTGTCCTGTCAGATTAGGGGCCTACTCTACTCCCGTGTGACCTCATCTTAACTATTAATAGTTACATCTGCGACCACCCTGTTTCCAAATAAGGTCACATTCAGGGGTACTGGAGGTTCAGACTTCAATACATGAATTTGGAAGGAATCCAGTTCAACCTATAACAAATGAGTTCAAAGTGAGGAAAGCAAAGCTAGAGTTTAGGAAGAACCTTTTTGCTCATTTTGCTCATGTGCGTAAGGGCTGAGTGCTTGTCTTAGGTAGGAGAGCAGGTGTGAGATGATATTCCCTCTGTGTTGAAGGCTAGCTGAAAACAACCAGTAAGTGGCAGTGGAGGGGGAAGTAGACTGTAAGGGCTGGGTCTGTGTTGGGGGGAAGTGCCAGGAAGCAAGTGTGTCACTGTCCATCAGTGAGTAGGAAGTATTCCTAGTTATTTGTTGCCTAAGAAGCTCTTAGCTTCAAAACCTCCTCTCCCTATTCCCCAACCTGGATCCCTGGCCTTTCTCTGCCCACCATCTTGAGATCTCTCATTCCCATTTAAACTCCATTAGTAATTCAAAGCCAGAGCAAGCCCATCCCCAGCCTGATAGAGGTGGTGGGGTTGTAGAGATGGACAGTCAGATGTGTTCTGGCCTTCTGTTTTCTAAGAAAACATCATTATGTGAATGTTCAGGAGGGGTTGATAGGGCTATGCTAAGGGTTAAAACATGCTTTTCTGGGCTGGCCTGGGACTTACCCACATGAATCTGGAGAAGTAGTTTTGATTTCCAGCCAGGCAGGAATTTATAAATAACAAAACTTGTGAATGCAGTCCATTTCTAGGTTAGAGAATTGCATATTAAACTCAGTAATCCTCTGCCTGAATAAATAATTCAAAGGTAGAAAATGTCTATGGATTTATCTGTATAGTCAACAAGCAGTTTCATGTATGCAGATCATTTGAATCCAGATTCACAGCCAAGTACTCAAAACGTAAGTAGATACAAGGAAAAAATTAAAAGCACACCTAATTCTCCTAGAGACCCTACATAAGGCAGAGGGAACCACTGCAGGAAAAAAAACCAAACAAGAAAAATCTAACCACTCCCTAACAACCATGTTCCTCTACCAAACCTTGTTTCTTTCCTTTGATTTGTAAATCTAGAAATCACATGCTTCTCAGAATCCTTAATAAAAGATTACTTTTAAATGCCACAATCCCCAATCTTTGTTAATGTATTGAAAAAAATTGAAGCTATTGAAGAAAAGGGGAGCCTCAGTATCAACATAAGAAAGAAAAGTAGTATAGCCGGGTGTGGTGGCTCACCCCTGTAATCCTAGCACTCTGAGAGGCCAAGGCAGGAGGATCACTTGAGCTCAGGAGTTGGAGACCAGCCTGAGCAAGAGCAAGACCCCATCTCTACTAAAAATAAAAAATTAGCCAGGTATGGTGGCTCATGCTTATAGTCCCAGCTACTCAGGAGGCTGAGGCAGGAGGATTGCTTGAGTCCAGGAGTTTGAGGTTGCTGTGAGCTATGATGACACCACTGTACTTTAGCCTGGGTGATAGAGTAAGACTCTGTCTCCAAAAAGAAAAAAAGACTAGCCACCTACCTAAATTTTTATGAGTAATCAGTTAAACTTATGAAATTGTATACTCTCTTCTTAAAAACAAGAGGGTGTTTGCAGATGTGTCTCTTATACAATGACAACAAATGACTTAATGGGGCTTTGGTTCTTTGTTACACTCTTATTTCAAAAACTAAGGAGGGCGCGCGTGCGGGTCAACGCCTGTAAATCCTAGCACTCTGGAGCCCAGGCGGTGCGAGTTGCTCTGGTCAAGAGTTCAAAACCAGCTGAGCAAGAGCGAGACCCGCTCTCTACTAATAAATAGAAAGAAATTAATTAGCCAACTAATATATATATATAAAAATTAGCCGGGCATGGTGCACATGCCTGTAGTCCCAGCTACTCGGGAGGCTGAGGCAGAAGGATTACTTGAGCCCAGGAGTTTGAGGTTGCTGTGAGCTAGGCTGACGCCACGGCACTCACTATAGCCCGGGCAACAAGCGAGACTCTGTCTCAAAAAAAAAAAAAAAAAACTAAGATGGATTATGTTTATTAAATTATTTTTTAAGAATTAAAGAAAATCCTACTATAAATTAAGATAGAGATGCTGTGGGAGTTTCCAAAATCAAGGTTAGGAACTGCTGATTTATAAAGATCATCTGTGTATATGTGTTTCTTGGTGCAAGGGGTTAGAAAACTTTTGATAATTTAATGGGATTTATGAACCTATTTTAAGAAGTAGAGTCTGTGAATAACTAGATAAAGAAGAAACAGAGCAACTTGAGGATTTGGTTTCATGCCCTATAGAGTTCAAATTAAATTTTGCCAAAAGACAGTTTAGAAGTTTAAAAGATTAAGTTTTCTTTCTTTTCATACAGTCTACTTCAAAACTAGTCAACATAATGCACTCGACAGCATATGCCCTTGGATGAGTTGCAATACTAGAAAAGTAGTGTCAGAATTGAAAAGGTTATTCGAAAGACCAGCTTGCCTTCAACCAAATCAATGAAGAAAAGGTAGCGTGTTCTAAAACTGTGATTTCTGAGCTGTGTTCTGTTAATCGGTATTTCAGCGAACACTCTGACAAAAGAGTCTTATGGTCATACAACTTTGGGGAATCCTGCCTGAAATATATCCCTGTAAGCCATTCACAGTGCACATGCATTTGGAAATGACCCTGAAAATTTACAAAAACTCGTGTATTTTTGTTTAAGTCCATCACACCAAACTTATTTCAAGTATGGCAAAGTTTTTCTCATGTATCATTATTAATATTGAACCAAAGAATTCAAAGCAAGTGAATACTTATTTGGTTCTGTCAAGTCCTGTAGACATAGATTATGTTCTGTGGGAGTATAAATTTTCAAGCAGACAAGATTACAATGAGCACATAACTGTGGGAGCATAAGCATTCAAGTGTAAGTGGTCCAGTTTTAGAAAACCTCCCTTGCAATCTCTTTAAACAGCACCTCCTCCCCATTCCTGTGGCTGACGTCTGAAATTCCACTGTTAGATCCTCACGCTTTAGTTTAAGCCTGTTAACATTTAGGACTGTTTGAAGGAAGTAGCCTGTTCAGCAAATGTGGAAGATTACTTGTGGAAAACTAGTTGATAGATGAAGAGAACTAAATGTAGACTTGGTAAAAATACTTGATTAAAAAAAAAAAAATCTTTTGAGTTGAGACCATAGGTTACAATCCCTTCCTCACCCTGTCCCCTCTTCCCCGCAGTGAAGCGAAGTCAGGATGTTTGCCCAGCCCAAATCAGAAACCCTTCGAGAAAAGAGAAAATTTCTCTTTAAGCCGAAACTGTGTTGCCAGTGGAGATATTTTGTGTTAGTGCTCTGCCTAAATAAATAGCTGAAAAAGAAGACAGCAGAAAACATTTAATACACATTTGTTCAGTGAAACTGACTGAAACTAGGACTAAAATCAGGAAAACAAAGCCCAAACGCTACCAGTCAGTTCATGAACAGCCTCATTTAGAATGTGCTGGAACTAAACTGCCCTCTCTCCACACTCGGCTCCTCCGGCTGGCCCTGCTGTCTGGAGACAGAAACCTCATTCACGTCCACGCATCGTGCCCTACGTGGATTCTGAACCGGTCACGGCCTCCTGATCATACCTCCTCGCTGTCCCCCTCTGCTGTGGCACTTGGGACCGTCCCTCAGCACGTATGTCTGCCTTTTTCGGAATGGAGCGGTGTCTAGTCAGGGACAGTGGCTTTTATCCTTGCTGGGCACAGTCTACGACATAGTGTCGTAGAATATCCACAGCCTACGACATAGTGGTTATTCACAGATATCTCTGGTGGGACAGAACAGGTCAAGGAAAGGTCCTAAGAGCTGGGGAATTTCTGAAAAATTCCTTATTGACTACTTTAGCCCCATGTTACTACTACTACTTCTTTGCCCCATGTTACTCCCAGGCTTACAAGATGGCTTTTAGTAGGAGCCTGGGGTGTCATATAACCACTTTATTTTTTAAGATTGTCGAATTATTATAGAAACTCTTAGAACAGTGCCTGACACATGGTAGGTGCTGGATAAGTGTTTAGTAGAGAAAATAATTAAATAAACCCGTTTAATTATTTAATATTTCCTGCAAGTAGGCAACTGCAGTTGTAGAATCATCAAAGAATTTTTTTAATGTTCATTATGGACATTATTTGTTCTCAAGGCTTGCCTAACACAGACTCCATGTGGATTCAAGTATTTATTAAGTTTATACTATCCACAGGGCACTGTGTTAGTAGCTGTGTGATCAAAATAATGGTGGTGAGCGAGGCAGGCACAGCCCTCAAAGAATGTTCGCTCACAGAGAGCTCACTATGTTAGAGAGTGAAGAGCAGGTGCATAGAAAAATTTCTCAGCTCATTCAGGCTCAGTATCTTCTCCAATGAGCTTCTTAAGACTTGTATCTTGATTTCTTCCTCCATTTTCTACTATTGCTAGAGCTGCTTATATCCTCTGTTGATTAATAACAAAGTTCCTTTCTCTCTGTTTCTTCAGTAATATGTTCAGACAGACTGGTGTATATGCTTCATTCTTCAGCCTTTAGATGGTTGTTTCTCCAACAAAAATCCTACTATGCTGTGGCTTCTTATTTTTAGCTTTGCCTGATAATTCCTAATGGTTTTCTCAAATCCCTTTTCACCTGCTACTTTTCCTTCCATGTTTTATTGAGCTGGACTTTGATGACTCCTGTCTGATTTCCCAGTGTAAATGGAGTGGGGAATTAGGGGCCCAGATGGGCAAAGCTGGTGTTGTTGTAGGGGTCTCAGCTAGGCAGAGCAGAGAATGTGTACGTATGGTGTGTGTAAGAGTGGTAACTTTGTGTCCGTGGTTGCAGAGTGTGATTGATGTCCCTGGTAAATTAATGTCATGTACCATTGGATTTCAAGGTCAGCAGAGCAAAAATAAACAGTCCAGGGGCTGTGTATCAGGATTGAGTGTGGCTGCATATAGCAGAGAACTTGACAACAGTGGCTTAATTGTTTTGTTTGTTTGTTTATTATATAACAAGAAGTCTGGAGGTACAGCCAGTCACTGCTGTTGGTTCATCATCAGCGTCAGGACTGGTGTCTCTGTTACTCTCTTGGCATTTCCCTGTGGTTATAAGATGGCTGCCACAGCTCCAGTCATCATGTTTGTATTCAAAGTAGGAAGAAAGCAATGACCACACCATTTCATATTGAAGGAAACAGTTTAACTGGGCTAAGTAGGATTTTGACAGAGAGAGGAAGGATGCAGAGTACTACAAAGTTGATAAGGTAAGAGGGTGTTTCTGCAGAACTATAACTAGCCTGGTTCAGGAAGCAGAAGTGTGTAGTGGTTAAAAGCCTGAGCTTTGAGTTAGAAAAATGTGGATCCAAATTCCATTCATGACACTTACAAGCTGTTGGGTTAGATGCATTTCTCAGTCTTTCTAAACCCTGGTTTCTTCATTGGTGAATAGAGATAATAAGAGCACCTGCCTTTTAAGATATTGTGAGGATTAAATGAGAGTAGATATGTAAGGTGTTTAGGTAGAGCCAAGCACCTAGTAGTTCTCAGAGAAGACCTGTTCTACTCCTCTTCCTCCTCTTGCTTTTGTTGTATTGTCAGCACGATCAGAATTAGCTAGACTCTAAGATGCTTTAGGGTGAGTAGCAGAAGAGAACAATGAAATATTAGGTTAAATTCATAGCCCAGAGAGTGGAAATCCTAGGGTTTTACTCTTTAAAGCAGGTTTTATGATGAAAAATGGCATGATCAAACTAGTCTTGTCTGTTCATCCCATATTACAATACTTTTTAGTTCTTCATACTTAAAATTTTTCATTATCTTTAATTTTCATGTATTAAATATAAAAAATTGGGCCACATTAACCCAGAAAACCTTCCTCTGGAGTAAATTTATGATACTTGTGACAAAAGCCCAAGTAAATAGATCTCCAGCATAAGATGGCACTGTTTACTGTCCTAACCCAGTTTTCCAAATGCCTTTTTGCTTTACAAGTTATCATTGTGAATCTCATTTTTCATTTTGGTAATAAATTTGAACAGCTGAATTTTTTTCTTCACTAAGGTTTTATATGTTTAAGTCACCCATGTATTCACTTTTGATTTTGACATTTAATAACTCCCCTGAAATACATGGGAGAAATTATATCAACGACATAGAGGACTCTAACATGTACTTAAGGGGAGGAAATAAATGCCACACTCAAGGCAATTATACAGGTAGTATTAAAAACATTAAATATGTATCAAAAATTTAAAACATAGGTTTAAAAGGACAGTAAAGGTAGGTAAAAAGCCTAACTTTGACAGTATACATGTTAAGAAACTATATTATGTTTTCTGCTGGGAGGAAGTCTAAAAATGAATGGTCTTTTAATCAAACCTATTAGTTTTGTAATAGGAAGTTCTGTAATAGGAAGTTCTGTGACCAAGAAAACCTCTGTGTTAAGTATGTAGCATATCTATTTGTCTGAAATGTACACGATTACTATGTGGTTGTATATAATTTCTATTTAAGAGTTTTAGAAGCTCTCTGGGAGGCTGAGGCGGGCAGATTGCTCGAGGTCAGGAGTCTGAAACCAGCCTGAGCAAGAGCAAGACCCCATATCTACTATAAATAGAAAGAAATTAATTGGCCAGCTAACATATATAGAAAAAATTAGCCGGGCATGGTGGCGCATGCCTGTAGTCCCAGCTACTCGGGAGGCTGAGGCAGGAGGATTGTTTGAGCCCAGGAGTTTGAGGTTGCTGTGAGCTAGGCTGACGCCACAGCACTCACTCTAGCCTGGGCAACAAAGTGAGACTACTGTCTCAAAAATAAATAAATAAATAAAATTTTAGAAAAGGAGCCCATAGCCCTTTGCTATGAGAGAAATATAGCATATGAGCATATATATTCATGGGCAAGGCAATGCCTTGGAAAAAAAACATGTAACATCTAGGGAGATGCTAGATAAGTCCCAGCTAACATGCAAAGTGGATCCAGCTTGCAAGCATGTTCAGTATTAATTGATGACTTTTGCAGAGTCTAGGTCAGGACCATTCTTCCTGCCCGGTTCATAAACCTTTTTTCTCCCCACATTCTCCTTGCCTCGCCTCATGTGTCTTCAGGAATTTGTGAATGATTCTAATATCCCAGCAGCGCACAACATGACCTGGCAGAAGTTTATGGTGACCTTTTCTGATTGTACCTTCACCCATAGATGGGGTTTTCTGGGCTCTGTAGCTTTTCTCCTCGGCCAGCACTTATCTCTTTTTTGTTGAGGAATCGAGGTCTCTGGTTGTGCCTGAGTGAAAAGGAACAAAGATAAAAATGAAGGCGTGACTAGTTGAAAAATAGAGACCGAATTTTAACTTGAAAATTGTTTGTGAACAGAAGGAGAGAGGCAGCATTGTCTTTGTAAGCGGTTGGTAAGTGGTAACTGTAGTAACCCAGATGGCCAACCCCGGCTCCACATGGTAAGTGCTTTCCATTCAGAGCCTTTTCAAAGTTCACCCATCTATAGATCTGCTAATGGGAAACACACGAGTCTCCAAGTACAGTGAAATAATCACCTGGAGATAAAAACTCCCCACAGAAAAAATTAACACAACTTCTTTTATGAAAGACAGGTCACCGTAAAAAGAAACTCTACATACTTATCATCAGTTGTTGGGAAAAAAAAAAAAAAAAGATTTATGATGACATTGAGGTATGATAATCTCAAATATGTTCTGCATTGTTTTTAAAAGCTTTGTGTTTAAAATTCATAGCACTTTCTAATCCTGATAAAGTAGCCTAATTTTCTAGCTTGCTTTGTTCAGTAAAATGTATTTCTAAATCCATTTTAAGCAGCTATTTCTTCAATTTGAGTAATTTTCTCTCAAGTTAATAGATTCCACACAAGCATACCTGCCTTTTAATGTTAATATATACTATATATTCCAAACTGGCTAGTGACAATAGAAAGCACAATCAAAATGAAATTCAGTTGTTTAAAGCATATCTAGCTTGTTATTTTGTTGAAACATTTCTTCATTTTACTCTTCTTTGCCAAAGTATAGTGATACCAAATCATATTTTACAGATTGTGTATCCCTTATCTGAAATGCTTGGGACCAGAAGTGTTTTGGACTTTGGATTTTTTTTTTTTTCAGATTTTGGAATATTTGCATTATACCCGGTTAAGCATCCCAAATCTGAAAATGTAAAATCCAAAATGCTCCCATGAATATTTCTTTTTGAATGTTATGTCAGTGCTCAAAAAGTTTCGGATTTGGGGTTGGGCACAGGGGCTGACACCTGTAATCCTAGCACTCTGGGAGGCCAAGGCAGGAGAATTGCTTGGGGCTCAGGTGTTCAAGACCAGACTGGACAAGAGCTGGGCAAGAGGGATTCCTTATCTCTACTAAAAATAGAAAAAATTAGCCAGGCGTGGTGGTGTACGCCTGTAGTCCTAGCTACTTGGGAGGCTGAGGCAGGAAGTTTGCTTGAGCCCAGGAGTTTGAGATTGCTTTGAGCTAGGCTGATGCCATGGCATTCCAGCCTGGGCAATAGAGGAAGACTGACTCAAAAAAAAAAAAAAAGTTTCTGATTTTGGAGCATTTGGGATTTAAGATTTTTGATTTGAGATGCTCATCCTGTACCTTATATTAAAGTTCTATCTCCCTCTTCTTTCACAGGAAAAGTAAAAGAAAAAAGAATGTGGTAGATATAATTGTGTCATTTTAAGATAAGGTGACTTTAAAACCGTATCGATAGAGAACATTTGCCCAACAGTAAATCCCTACATTAATAAGTTCAGCTTTAGGGGCTGGCCAGAAAGGAAAAGCATTTTGATTTTGAGATATTTGGCATCAGTAATTTGATTTACAGATCGATGTTTTCATTTTATATTAAGTCTAATACATTTTGATGTTTTATTCAAACTATTATAACTCGTATAATAATAATGCTGGTGGGTACTTTTGGCATTTTCTTTTGATTATAGGGTACTGGCTTAATTGCCATGAATCTCATTTTTTTTTTCCTTCTCAGCAGTGCCACTGGCTTTCTGAAAAACAGAGGGTAATGTAATGGAGAGATATTTTTTTCTAAATTAGGTGGTCAGAGAAAACATGTATAACTTTTGAATCAGTATTTCCTGTAAAGGTACAGAGTTTCATACTTTTAGCCTTGTCTTATACATTGCTGTGTTCCTAGTTTCTAGAACAGTCACATAGTATGTTACTGGCACATAGTATGTGCTCAGTAAATAGTAGTTGAATGGATGTTGAAGGCTTGAGAAAGAGGGTGGCTGGGTTGAGCACTGAGATATGAGCATAATCCATACATACCGGTAGTCATGAGTTTATAAGTGTACTGTTAGGGTTACTCCTGTATGCTTGAAAACTGAAAGCAAGGCCAGTTCCAGAACAGGATTAAGGGGCCAGCCAGCTGGGCAGTTTCCCAGAACGATAATCTCTAAGAGGCATTGAAACCACTGAAAATGTTCAAGACAGAGAAAATTGTATTTATTAGAATTCCTCTGCTGTCTGTCATTGGGGATTAGACATAAGGCATTCTAGGGACATGCTCTCATCCTCTGCTTTCTAAGGAGAATAGGTCCAGTTAGTAACAGAGCTTTTGTTTTGCTAAGTGAAGTATTCAAATTTGGGAGCAGAGCTGAATAGTTGCGACAAGAGAGAATAGTCAAGTGCTGTCACTGGGATCTTCTTGTTTTATTTCTACCTTTAAGCAGAATTAAGCCCTTTTTTTCCCTCAAATTTTAAGCCAACCTTTAAAGGATATTGGTGTAAAAGGGTATCAAATTGTTAGCCTATACAGAGTGATTTCATGTTTTGGTGTCTCAGTGAAGCCCTAGACCAGTGCTAATAGCGATATGTAATTTAAAATAGAGATATGTAATTAAAAAATTTTTAGTAGCCACATTAATCTAGTAAAAAGAAACAGGTGAAACAGTAATTATAATAATACATTTTATTTAACTGAATAAATCTATATCATTTCAGTGTGTAATGAATATGAAAATTATTGAGATGTTTCACATTCTATTTTTTTGTACTAAGTCCTCAAAACCCTGTGTGTATTTTATACTTATGTCACATCCCAGCTTGTACTAAGCACATTCCAAAGCACTCAGTGGCCACGTATAGTGAGTGACTACCGTACTGGACAGTGCGGTGCAGGCCTACACACCTGACAGGGTAGAATCAGTGACTCCCAGCTGGCATCATTGACCCGGTCCTAAAAGGGCCTTTGGCCAGTGTGAAATCCCCAGTGTTGGTACCACTGTTTAAAAATCTTTTTAAGGAACTATAAGTATAAATGTCTTGAAGTATTTGTCTACCTAAACTAATCCTTTAGGTAGTTTAATGAATATGAATGCTGTTCATTTGTCCAACCTTCTCTAGCGAGTGAAGCATCATCAATAAGTAACCATGTCTGTTTAGACCAGTGATGGGCTCCATGATGATTAGGGAAGAGGCCTGGATTATGGATGTCCTATTTGGGAGCTAATGGAAAACTACTTACAGAGACGACTAGGAGCAGCCTTAAAATAGGAGTTCAGGAAAAGGGGTAAAGGTACAAATGATTATATATACTTGCCATAATTTAAGCATTACTCTTACTATGTAGTTTTTCTTTTTCTCCTCCTTTCTCCCTTGTGAACTCATTTCCCTTTGTTTTTTCCAGATACGATTCACACACAATAAATTTCTCCCTTTAAAGTATACATTTCAGGGTTTTCTGCAGACTCACCAACTTGTGCAGCCACCACCACTGGCTAATTGCAGAGCCCTTTGTTTTGATGACAGGTCTTCTAGGGCTCACTTTCGGGCAACTCTCTTTCCTTAACAACCGTCCTCTGAAGAGGGCATGGGGAGGGGAGAGGTGAGAACTAAGAAGTGTAGCATCATTTCTGGGAGCCCATATTTGGTCTGTTTATTCTTTGTAGAGATTTGCAAACATCCTCAGGAGACCTAATACAGTATTAAAAATCACAGAAGCTACAGAACCAGGTTTAGGAGACATTTTGTTGTTTTCCAGTTTGACTCTTGGTTCAAAATGCTGACCAAATGGCCTTATAAATATTTGAATTAAGTAATCCTTCCCTTTTTCCAAATTTGTTTAAAACACAACTTAGGGTTGTTTGAACGATTAAAATAGAAGTTATTTGTTTTGACTGGTAACTCATTTCTAGCATTACTACAGTTCTTAAATCCATCTTGTATAAAACCTAAGTTTTAAAAGTAAAAGAGAACTTCTGATATATTAGACATAACTCAAGGCTCTTGTTTGTATCAAGTGGTTCTACCACATATTTTTGAGTGGTTAGCATAATTGTTTAAAACATCCTCCCAGCGACATTATTGTCAGTAACCAAGGATTATATAGTCAGAGTCCCCACCTTGTGTTCCATTTGAATCACACAGTTTTGCATTATTTTATATGGCCACAACTTTATTTTTATTGAGAGGAAGGCAACTGGAAGGAATGTGGTTATCATGAGCTAATCTTACCCTTGGGATATTAGAGATATTTTCTTTGTTTGTTTGTTTGTTTGTTTCTTTGT